TGTCTGGGCAGGCTTAGGAGGTGTGGCCTTGCTGGAGGAGGTGTGTATGTATATGTATGCGTATATCTGTGGGGGAAGGGCGGGGGATTGAGAGTTTGAAGACTTGCACCATTTGCAGCTCCCTGTTTGTCTTGTGAGACACGATCTCTCGGCTGTCCCTGCCGCCCTGCCTGGTGCTTGCGGCGACACCTCCCCATCACGATGTTGGTGGACTCTAGCCCTCCGGAACTGTTAGTTCAAAAAACCCTTCCAGGGGCTGGAGAGGCAGCTCAGCGGTTAAGACTATTGGCAGCTCTTCCAGAGGGCCTGAGTTCAGTTCCCTGCAAACATATGGTGGCTCACAACTGTCTATAGTGGGATCTGATGCCCCCTTCTGGCTGGCAAGTGTACATGCAGATAGAGCACCATATACGTTAAGTAAATCTTAAATAAACAAATACATCGTGGTGTCTTATCAGAGCAGTGGAGAAGGAACTGAGACACAAAGTTAACAAATGTCAGGGTGGAAGAGATGGCTGGCTCGGCGGCTAAGAGAACTTGTCCTTGAAGAAGACCGGTTTTGGTTCCCAGCACCCACAAATGGAGGCTGGCAATTATCTGTGACTCCAGTTCCAGAGGGTCCAGCACACTCTTCCTGGCACCAAGCGCGCACAAGACATACGTGACGGTGAAAATGCCCACACACATAAAATCAACAAATAAAGCTTACAAATTACAAAATTCTAACGAACTTCATGGTCCCTTGCAGAACACGATTAAGTCTGTCTGCAACAACAAGACCTAGGCTGCCGGTGCCCCAGATCGTGAGGTCCTGCATGAAGTCCTTAGTACTGGAAAAGAGAGCCTGAAGGGAAAGGTGGAGAGAACTTTCTAGCAGAGTCTAACCCACTTCCTGGAGCAGACTAGACCCCGCCAGTTCATTCAGGTGAGAGCCAGGACCCAGAGCCCGCTGTGAACGTACTGGGGACCACAGAAAGAACCGTGGTTATGAACCCCCGAGTAAATCCTTGAAAATGTGGCCGCCACACTGGGGTGCTGAGTGTTGTGTCGCCGGGACCCAAACGCCTGATACTGACAGCTGAAGCAGGAAAGCATCTCCTTGGGCTTGGTTGCATCCATCTGTCTTCTTGATGCTGGCTGGACCGGTTGGAGGCAGAGCATCCCTGTGCGGGGAGCAGGTCGGGGCGGAGCCGCATGAGAGCATCCTGCAGAGTGGGAAGCGGGGCGGAGCTGGACAAGACGTCTCCGAGGAGCCGGTGACTCACTCAACCTCCTCCAGCAGGGCCAGACCTCCGAAGGTCTGCGGAGCATCCCGGAATAGCACTACCAGCTGAGGATCTTGGTCCCCAGCTGACGGCACCGTTTAGGGATGCAGTCAAGGCTGTGGGAGGTGGGGCCTAGCGGAGAGCACGTCACTGGTGGGGGCGGTCCTTGAGGATTAGAGCTCCGCCCTGCTCCTCTTCAATGTGAACAAGCAGCCTCCTGCGCTCACCCTGGCTGCGCCTCTCCCAGTGTCAAATCATGGGCCAAACTAAATGCTTCCTCCTTCCCCGGTGCTGCATTGAGATATTTTATCACAACGACCACAAAAGTGACCAACGGCAAAAACTGGTGTCAATGCGAGCCGCGGCTGCCACTGTTGTGAGAGACCTGGCCGTGCATCTCAGGCATTTGGAGCTGGTTTGTGGGAGGGATGTGGGACGGTTTGGGGCTAAGGAGCTTTGCGATGTTGTAAACAGCTTAGTGGGCAATTTTGGTGGGGGTTTAGGAGAGCAGGATGATGTTTTCTTCTAAAACATGAAGACAACAAAGACTTCTTGGAAATTTCATAAGGGGTTCCTGTCAGCGATGGATTGGACAATAGAGGTTCCATGGTGGCGCACGCCTTTAATCCCAGCACTCGGGAGGCAGAGGCAGGAGGATCTCTGTGAGTTCCAGACCAGCCTGGTCTGCGTCCTGAGTTCCAGGCCAGCTAGGGCTGCTCACTGAAAACCTCTCAAGAACAAAGCGTGGTGAATAAGGAGTCCACGCCCAGTAAAGGATTGCTGAATTCTCCAAAGGCAGTGTCCTGGGCATGGCAGGTACGAAACAACAGAGATCATCAAACCGGCAAGTCCCAGACTACAGCTCCTCAGCCGGGCGGCTTCAGAGGGCACCAAGAACACATGACACTGTGGACGCCGTGACCAATTAAGGGACCTGCCTGGAGCACTGGGCTGCAAGCAGAGGAAGGTTTGCAGGAGGCTGCAGCTGAGGCAGAAATGCCGTGTGGAGCAAATGCAAACAGAGGAAACATGAACAGAAGAGAAACCGCGCTGCACGACTCCTTAGCCTTCACGGGGGTGGGGGGATGGCGTATCTTCAAACCGTGTAGACTCAGACAAACCACTACTGGGGATTCTGGATACCCCGGGTAGGCTGCTAAAACTGAGTTTCATAGGATACCATTTGCCTTTTCAAAGGTGTATCACTTGGGGCTGGAGAAATGGCTGCTCTACCGGAGGCCCCGGGTTCGGTTCCCCGTACCTGCGAGACAGCCGACAAGCAACCGCAGCTCCTGGGATCCGACCGCCTCCTCTGCCCTCTGAGGACGCCATACTTGCATGCGGCACACAGACATGCATCAACAGAGCACTCATACACACAGGGTAAAAGCTAAAAATTAAAACTTGTGTCACTTGACGGTCTTTAGTGTGCAACCATTACCAACAGCATCTGATTTTTACCGCCTTCTTTAAAAGCCTCTACCGACTGGTGTTGTCACAAATCTCTTCCTGTTTGGTACCCGTCAACCACTAAGCCTTCTGAGTCTATGGATTTGACTACATTTCACATAATGAAATCATGGTGCACACATGTGTGCGTGCGTGCATATGTGTGCGCGTGTTCTTAGCATGTTCTCAAAGTTCACCCACATGCTTTGCATGCCCCGATCTTCCTAAGTTTTTGTGTGGTTTCAGGTTTTTTTTTTTTAGGTGTGTGAGATGCTCAACAGTTAAGAGCACTGGCTGCTCTTCCAGAGGACCTGGGTTCAATTCCCAGCACCCATGCCTGTTAACGCCAGTTCCAGGGAACCTGGCGCCCTCTTCTGCCCTCTGCAGGCACTGCACCGTGCGGCACAAACAACCATACAGGCAAAGCATCCATATACATAAAAAATAAATAAAGGTGTGGTGATGTCTTTCTTACACAAATAAAGCCTGTCTGGGGGTTAGCTAGCCTCTAGCCAACCACAGAGGTCTGGGGGTCTGGACAGACAGACAGGAAGTGACATAGCTGGGCAGAAACAGGATATAAGCAGGGAGAAACAGGAAATCGCTCTCTTCTCTGCTGAGACGCTTAGGAGGTAAGGTGTGCTGTGGCTTGCTCCTTCTCTCTGATCTCTCAATGTTTCCCTGTATATCTGACTCCGGCTTTATTACCTAGACCAATTAAGAGCTCCTTTTACATAAAGGAAAAAAGGTTCTCATCAAATTATAAAACAAACACTGGAGAAGATTCTGCTTCCAGGAAGCACAGAGAAGCCAAGTCTAAAAGAGAAGATCCAGTTGGAACAGGAGACCTCCATGGAAAACGAGCCCCTCATGATTCGAATCGATCAGCCACCTCCTACCTCAGAGCCAAGAGGACTAACTGAAGGGAAGCGGAGATGGGGACAAGGTGACCACTAAGGAGCCGCCAATCACACCGGAGACGGGACATGGTCAGCAGAGGTGGCAAGGGAATACCTGGGGGGAGGGAGGGGACATCTAAAAACGTTCACAGGCCAGGAGCTCAGGTGAGACACCAGAGCAGGGGTCAGGAGGCAGCCCCAGGCTGCAAGTGCAAGGATCTTAGCCCCCCAACCCCCAACCCGCTGCTGGGCAGGGCAGTGCCTGTCAAGGAAGAGACAAGACCTCACCCGCCCACCTCTGATGAAACAGAGTGCCCCTTCCCGAGGGCACTAATAGCGTAGTTCCGGGACCTGTGTCAAGCTTGATGCCTCCTTAGAGCCGGTGCAGTGGCTGCCCCGCAAATGCTAAGCAGGCGCTTACTGACAGGAAATCACGCTCCCATCGGAAGCACGCAGCTGCGCTTTCAGTTCTGCTGATTCAATATTTCCCACCGGAAACTGCAACCGTGTATCCTCCTGCACACAGAATGCACGCGGCGCCTTTGGTGACAAAGGGCGTGCTGTGTGTGCGGCAATCCAAGGCACCATCAACGGCGACTCACAGAGCAACCCTTTCCCCTCCTTGTTCTCAGACTGTTGGGAAACCCAGCCTGGCGATCAGGCAGAGAGGCTGGCTCTCCTAGTTATAGGAACAAAGGTCAACGACACAGGCCACGGGGCTCAGTACCGGGCATGGCCACCGCAGGGCCGTGAGCCACAGAAAACCATGTCAAAAGTCAAATGCCCGTTCCTGTCACGTTGGCTACCTTTCAGGTGATCACCAGCTACGGGCCATCTACAGTACCACCACAGACAGTTATTTTGGGCAGTGTTATCCTCAGCTAGACCTACTGTGTGGCTGCATTTGAAAGTGTGGGGTCTACAAGCTGAACTGTTTGGACAGACACATCACACCGGATCAGCCATGTTTCTTCTTGAGACCAAACATCTGACAACGGCGACGTAAGGGAGGGAGGCCCGTGTGGCTCACGGGTTAGAAAGGGCTAGTTCGCCAGGTGGAAGCGAGTGGTGGAGGGAATGTGGAGTGGCCAGCGGCACGGCCTGACTCTGCAGGAGGCACGCGGGCACTGGCGCACTCCCTGCTTTCCCCTACCACAGCCTGGAACTCTAGACCACAGGAGCCAGACGCATCACACGGCGCGCAGTACAAGCTCAGAAGCTACAGCAATGGTTTGCTACATGCTCGCACTCCAGAGCTCGGTGTGAGTGCGCAAGCGCATGTGCAAGGGCGTGTGCTCGGACACACACGCACACATACACACACACACACACACACACACACACACACACACACCCTGGGGATTAAGTCACAGGATGAATTCTGTAGTGGGTTTTTTGGTAGTTTTCTATTAATATGGTTTAATATAATAGCCCCAAGCAGAATGCTACCGAATGGACGTCTCTTAACCACACACACATTTCAGAACCAACCACCTGGGCAGAGGACAAGCGAAGTGTTCGGTTTTCAGCGGCGCTAGAGTGCCCTCTGGTGACAACACACAAGCCCTGCACGGTCTGTGCGTGGGATAAACAGAAACCCTGTACGGAAGAACAGACCTACACGGAGAATCAATCCAAATATAAGACGGGAAACTGTGAAACAGAGCGATCCGTATTACAGAGAACGGAACTTATCCGCCGAGGTCAACCACCAGCCTAGTTACCCGCAAAATGCGATGAAGCCTGCTCTCTGGATTCGACAGTCCCGACGTTTTCCGAGGCGGGCTGTAATCTTCCCTGCAGTGTTCACGCCCTATGGTTTGCTCACACAAGCCATGTCTTCTTTCCAAGTCTTAACTTCGTCACATTTCACAAACATACGGTCAATCATAGCAACGGGCTCTGAACCAAAAGATGAATGTGACCTTGCTCCTTATGGGCAGGCTTTACAGTGTGATACACTAAAGCCTTGCACAGGACACCGTCTGCACGCAGGCCAGCCTGAGGAGGCAGGGCTCCCAGAGGGCTTTGTGGATCAGACGTGACGGTGATGTATTGCTTCCTCGGGTGACAAGCCCGAGTATCTGACCACCATCATCTATGGTAGATACCAATCACTATTAAATAAGGTCCACGGAGGCTCCCTACCATGGAGTCTGGAGGAAGCCTCTTCAACGGCAGCTTGGATCCCACTTGCTGACCACAAGCGTAAGCATCTCCTGGGTGTTTGACGTAGAGTATTCCTCGGATCTGTGCGGGACTGTAAACTGCCTCTCTCCTAGGGAGTCAATAATGAATCGGCACTATCATTATTCTTATGGACCCCACAGACAGGACAGCCAATCTCAGTACAGCGTGACTGGAAAGAAACCCCGTTTATTGCTGCCTTCTTGCTGACCATCCCTGGCTGTCTCTTCCACAGAGCTACCCCACAGGAAAGGCTCCTCTGACCAGATGACCCCATGGTTTCTCTCCAATCCCTTCTCTCTCGTAAGGGACCTGGACTGAAACACACTGTAAAGGCAGCTCTTCTGGAAAATGAAAAGGCTCCAATGTGATACATTCTTCATAAAGAAGCCAGAATTACAGGTTTTTTACAAGACCTGTATCTGTGTGAGTGTTTGCCTACATACGTGTACCACATGTCTACAGTGTCCACAGACGCCAGAGAGCGAGGGATCACCTGGAGCTGGAGTCTGAGGTGTCTGGGATCCTGTGGGTGCTGGGAATTGAACCTGGGTCTCTGTGAGAGCATCAAGAGCTGAGCCTCCTCTCTAGTCCCCAGTCAGGACTATATAGTCCCCTCGTACTATAAAGACGCAAACTATGAGTAAGTTCATATACTGAGGTGGTAACTGAAACTTTTTATTTTAAGGTCTTTTGATTGTTTGAGACAGATTCTTCCCTCTGTATAGCGCTGGCTACCCTGGAAATCACATGCAGACCAGACTGACCTAGTCACAGAGATCCCCTGCCTCCTGAGTGACAGGATTAAAGGTTGTCTGCCATCACACTAGGCATAATTAATTTCTAATTGAGTGCTTGTCTCAAAACTGCAATGTTTTCCACAGAGCACAATACTGTTACAGACTTTCCATAACAAAAGTCCCCCGACTGACTACATTTGATTTTAATCAAGAAACCAAGAAGCAATTTCTTCTTTTACTGATGCTACTGAAACAGGAACCATATATTTTTCTAAAGGCAGCAAAGGTTTTCCCTATATGCAGTCTGTAATATCTGTGGCTGTGGCTTTTAACCCTGTGCACATTTTCTTAAAAGGAAAAGGAAGCTGACAGTAAACTCTGTCATCTACACCAATTTCTACGTCATTTCCAATACCTTAGACTATACTTTAGGAACGAGAGCAGGTACTGGGCGGGTGGCACACACCTTTAATACAACCCAGCACTTGGAGTGCGGAAGTCAATGGATCTCTGAGTTCAAGACCAGCCTGGTCTACACAGTGAGTTCCAGGCCAAGTAGAGCTACACAGTCTCTACAACAACCACACCCTGTATTCCAAACTACCTGAAATTTAGAACTCTGACAGTATGTTGCAGCATGTATCAAAATTTAACTATATACCCTTGTAGAATCCCTTTACAGGGTTATTATGCTGAAATACATACACAGACTTACGCAAGGATGCGTCAGGAGTAAAACTGCATCACTTTGAACACCCTGAACGCCCACCGCTGACCCGTAACAGGCACTCGGTAGAACCGCATCATCAGGAAGGGTGAGGAGCTCAAGTCTCAGCAATGTGGGCCCTGGATAAACTGTGAATCCAAACAGCAAGTGACAGGTGTGTGCAGTATAATCCTTGCTTTGTTCAAAGAAGCTCTATGTGAGGGGAGGAGGGGAGGGAGGAGGGGAGGGAGGAGGAGAGGGAGGAGGGGAGGCAGGGATGGGGGCAGGGGGGAGGAGGGGAGGGAGGAAGACGCTCAACACAGAAAAGAGCCACAGACATCCTCTGAGGGCGAGAATTGGGGACGGGGGGGGGGGATCTCTCACATGTTCTACTCTGTAGACATTTCTATGTTTGGTCAGTAAGCACTTATGAAACAAAAATAAACATCCCAGGTAGCACAGATCTTGAAGGCTAATTTTCTAGAAGGCATAGCTCTCCCACTTGCAAAGCTGTGTGTGTACAGTGACTACAGATTACCACAAAACCCCACTCCCAGAGCTCCTGCTAGATCTTAAGCCGAGTCGTTCACTTCAGGGATTCTGAGGGTCAATGAGGCCTACTTTCAGACCATGTCAGAACGACAAAGTCAGCATGAGATCTTTGTAACTATGGATTAGGAAACAAACAAAGACTTAGACAAAATAAACAACTAATGCTGCATAGTTTTGCTAAACTTTATTCAAACTGGCCCTGGCCCCGCTTCTTATCTAAGAGAACTAAGCGTCCGGTATCCAAATACAAATATCACTACGTGCTGGAAAAATAAGCTCGGACTTGTGCTCTGACCCGAATTTGGCACAATTAAATCATATGCAAGTCAGACGCAAATGCTCCCGGCTCGGCACAGTGCAGTCCTGGAAGCGGCCCGTCGGTTAGACGGCGCCTTCACTGAGCCCGTGCTGCAGGGAAACCCTCGAGTCACGAACAGCGCACCGTGCACAGGGTCTTTTATTCTGTCCTGTGGGTGTCAACAGCATGGGCAGACAGACAGTGTGGGAAATTCAGAAAGCACACACCTGAACGCTGTCACACTGCTCCACATCACGGCTTAGTAACTACTGAACAGTTAGGTCTACTAAATGCAGCGAACAAAACGGCATGTTTACCCCATTCTCCTGGGAACGAGGCTGTGCACAATGTAGCAAAGAATTACGCATACCATGATATCAGGGAGGAAAACACCTCTTTAAATAAACTATCCTATTTATAAATAAACTCTGATTGTTTTCAGTACACATTTACAGACCTGATCAATAAAAAGAAACAATATATATATATATATTTTTTTTTTTCCTTTGGAAAGCAAAGGGAGGGATACGGACCACGTGAGAAGATCTGCCTGGGAAGGGGCGGGGCAAGCGAGGCTGAGAGTGACTCCGTGAGCACGCGCCAACACAACAACAGGACTGTCTGGGAGCAGCGCATGTTTACTTGAATTCCAGCAAGTTGCAATCGATCTTGTAATATACATAGGGGTAGTATTCTTGCTGACTCAGGTTTAGGCCAGGGATATCCATGGGAGCCTGTGGAGAAATCACAGACGCCTGTTAGGGACTTACAGGGCCTTTCCCGACACCTCATCTGGGCTCAAGTTATCCATTTAAACCAACTGAATCTGAGCTGGGCACGCACTTTGCTTTAAGTACAGGAAGAGTTCCAGGCTGCTGAGTCACAGAGAAACAAGCAAGCAGGAACCCAGACTCAGCCCAGCTCCAATACTGAAAGTGGGGACTGCACCCTGACTTTTCCAGGTCAATTTATGTGAAAAGCGCAAAAGTCAACTTTCTAAACCTTGGGTTTAGGGGACAATGTATCCAAATAAATCAGGTGTGGTTTTTAAAGATTTCAGGTCTATTTGCACCTTGGAAGAATTTACCAACAGTACAGTTTGTATTGAAGGCAGGATTCTTATTTTCTTGGAGACTTTATGAAAAGACAGCAGGTCATTTCCTGCATGTTCTCTTATCAAAAAAACTAATTGTTCATTATTCTGATTCATATGTAAGATACTGCCGTCTTAAACTAATGTGAAAAACAAGATACTCGAAATGTAAACTGTAAAATAAAAGCCCATTAACATGGTCAAACAACAAAAGCACACACAGGTTGCCATGTTTTCTTTAAAGGCTAATTTGAGCTGGGGAACGACTCAGCCTGCAGAGCACTGGCTCTTCCTGCAAAGGACCTGGGTCCCATTCCCAGTACTCACAAGGCTGCTCACACTGTCTGGAACTCCAGCTCTCGGGGACCTGCCTCCCTCTTCTGGCCTCCGTAGGGTTCGGCACTCACCGATATACCCACGCACACACACACATATGCACTAGGCATGTGTGTATCCTCCCAAAATAAATAAAAATGTAAACTACTAATCTATTGACCTCATTATTTCTACCAAACAAAATTAAGATAACTTGGTATTTTCTTTCTCTTGGCAGTGACTGGCTCCTAAAACCCCCGAGAATGCTGCACTTGGCACACAAACAAGAAAGCACTTGCTGACTTGGCCTACGGGAGCTGCTCAGGGGAGCACGGACGGCCTGTGTCACGACACATCTGCTACCCTTCTCTAGGAAGGCGCATTCCCCAGCTCCCTCGTCTCTAACGCGTACTCACATCGATAATGGCGGCTGCACTGCTGTCTAGGTGCTTGTACAGCTCATGTAACACTTCTCTTAGCTTCTTCACTGTTTTCTTGTTAGGCTGAAGGAGCATCGCTTGGAAGTTCACCGGCAGGCCATACCTTAAAAAGCAGCAGAAGCAGTGTGTAGCATGGCGCACACAGAGGCATTTTCTGTTCAGAGCTTCTGTGTAAGACTCTCCATGGACACAGCATGCACCGTGTTAAAAATCCTTCCCAAGCCCACCGCCAGCCACAGAAGCTTACACTGGCGTGTAAACACCCCTGAGCCCACAAGTCTGTCACTAAAAACTAGGCCACTTCGGGGGTGGTGGCTCACGCCTGTGATCTCAACACTGAGGAAACTAACGCAAGGGCTTGTGTGAATTTGAGGCCAGCCTGAGCTGTAGCAGAGGGGAAAATAGGCAAGCCAATCACTTGTAATTCATTAATATTCAGTTTCACAGTAATCTATAAATATGCCCAGTACATAAAAATAATATAGGGCTAGAAGACATTTATAGTTAAACTTTCCATACCTACTTTAAACATTTAAAAAAATTTAAAAGTGAGAAGAATGGTTACAGGTAAATTTTTAAGTGATTTCTAACAGGAGCAACATGTACAGAGAGGTTCAAAAGACACCTGATATTTAGTTATCTTAAAATCTATACTGTACATCAAACTACATACAAAATATCTTAAAAATCTTCATTTTAAACAAACAATGGCTTTTTTTTGTTTTTAAGACAAGGTCTCACTGACTGTGTAGACCAGGCTAGCCTTAAACCCAGAGATCCACCTGCCTCTGCATCCTACCTGCTGGGATTAAAAGTGTGTGCCACTACACCCAACTTGGTTAATATCTTCTAATTACAAATCGTGCCACACACAGATGTATTTCATGAACCAAGGACCACAAAACTGATGGTGATCCCATGGAGCTGGAGAGATGGCTCAGGGGTAAGAGCACCGGCTGCTCTTCCAGAGGACCTGGGTTCAATTCCCAGCACCCACATGGCAGCTCACAGCTGCTGTAACTGTAGTTCTGGGGGATCTGACACCCTCTCCTGGACTTCATGAGGTACACAAACATCCAGGCACACAAAATACTCATACACAGCAAATAAGTCATTTTCTAAATGGCAGTGCACCCCTAATTACAGAGGAGCTAAAAGTTTCTTTTGCCTGGCGCTGTCCATCAGTGTGCGCAGTCCTGGGGTTTCTGGCAGAGCTGCAGCAAGCATGCCTGCGCCTCCAGTGCATGTCACGTGACCTCATGGGGGGGCGCGTTCCTGGCTCAGCATCCACTACACTGCACTCTGTGTTGGTGGAGCTCAGGCCTTTGCACCTTCATAGTAAAGTGTGAAGACCATATAAAAGGCCGAGCTGCATTACACAGCGTCTCTAGATGCATCGAAAGGCGGCCATGTGAGCGGAGCGAGCGTGACGGTGCTCACCTGGTACGGATGTGCTCACGAGGCTGAGGCAGGAGGATCGGCGTCTGAGGCAGCCGGTGCTAAAAGTGAATTCTAAGTCGGCCAGGAAGAGACCGGATCAAACAAAACAAGCGGCCATGTTGAGCAACGGCTACCCACAGCAACTAGGCAGCCACATGGCACCTTCTGTGTCCCCCACAATGACGTCACTAACTGCTCAGCCCCACCCTCAGCAAACGGTCACGACTGCGTTAGAGACAGAGTGCAGCAGTGTGCATCTCTTCTCCCGAACAATAAACAGGTGACAAGCGGTGTGACCCCGGCAGTCACATGGCTGGACTGTCGTGAGAAAGGGGCATACTGAATTCTGCAGCTCCAATTTCCTTAGCTTTCTTACCTTAAAACAGACTCGACAAAAACCCTTAGTGCTTTTATATGAATCCACGCAATAAACGCCTCACTGAAATTCACTTTAAGCCACCGCACAAGTGGTCCCTTTAAAAGAAAAACACGAAATTACCACAAACTTGGTCTGCAAATGGCAATTAGAAAGTTCAAACATTTTTAAAGAAGTGACTAGCCACTTTATGAGGTTCCAAAGTATCACCTCCCTTCATGCTCTACAATGAAAGGGGAGCCACTACCCTGTACCCTCAGCAGACTCTAGGGCTGAGCGGCCTAACCAAGAGCAAGAGCCACGGCTTCAGGAAAGCACTTTAACTGGGCTTGAGAGCTGTGCGCAAACACGCCAACATACGACAGGACACTCAGATGCATTCCTGTGCACTTACACGGCCACCCCATCCCTAGTTTTCTAACCTGTGAGCAGGGTTTCTTCCGAGGCTCTGAAACCTGCTCATGTTTTACACTGTCTTGCTTCTGTGGCAACGCAAGTTCTTGTTGAACTTAAATGTTGGGCATAATTAGAAACTTCTATAAAGATGTCAAGCAATACCTCCCCTGTCCACCTCTAAAGACATCATTACTGACTCGGTTAACACTTAGGTTAACCGAGATATAGGATCATCTGGACGTACCAAGCAAAGAGGATACAGTAAAGTGAAAAGTTCTGATCAAATGTCTGCTCTTTGAGCTGCTGTGGTCAACAGCACTGAGCACATTTGCTTTTAG